AGCTCATCAAGGCGTGACCGGCTGTAGAATCGACCAGACTGTCGATCTTTGGAAGCAGGTAACTGTCCTTTTGTACACGCCTTGTTGAGGTCTGTGTAATCAACACACATGCGTCAGGTCCCATTCGGTTTCTTAACAAGAACCACATTGGCCACCCAGTCGGGGAAGTTACAAGGCCGAATGAACCAGGCGTCTAGCAGATTTTTGACTTCGGCAGCTGCCGCCTGACTTCTTTCCTCACCGTGGTTTCTTTTCTTTTTCCGGATGGGCTTCTTTTTAGGATCCACGGCGAGCTTGTGGACAGCAAGATCCGGGCTGATACCTGGCATCTCTTCCACTTCAAAGGCAAAAATGTCTTTGAATTCCTTCAGCAGAAGGTGCAAGTCTGCACCTAACTTGGCAAAGGCAATCGTCCCAACCTTCACGGTATGCTCTGGACAGCTGTCGTCCAGAGGTATATCAATATGTTCACCAGCCGGTTGGGGACGAAGCTCATCTGACCGTTCACCGGTCAGTGATTGCTATTTCTTCTCTTTCTTTACCTCCACCAGCAGAGGTGCCTTTCTTTTCTTCCCGAATGCTGGTGGGGCAGGCGCTGGGTCGGCCTCCTTGACATTGTCAAGGTCTATTGGTTCCTGGCCGCCTGGGGCCACAGTGTCTCTGATAGCTAAGAGATAGCACTCCCGGGCCGTCTTCTGATCCCCATTTAGGGAACCAACAGTGCCGTCACCCCTCTCATACTTGATGAGCATGAGAGACGGGATGATTACTGCCTTGGCTACGTTGAGGGTCGGCCGGCCTAGGATAATGTTGTAGGCGGTTAACTCCTCAAAAACCAAGAATCTGACGACAATATGTCATCCCTGGCCTTTCTCTCCCAGCCGGATGGGCAAGTCAATTCTTCCGGCTGGGTAAACCATCCCACCCCCAAAACCGACCAAGGGGTGGGTGACCGGATGCATGCTGCTGACATTGTATTTCAATTTTTGCAGGCACCGGAGGCTGATGATGTCTGATGAGCTGCCGGTGTCAATAAGGATCCGTCCAACCAGCTGGTTGGCAACCTTACATTCAATGACGATCGGGTCATCATGCGGATGGCGGACACTGCCCCTGTCCTTCTCAGTGATCAAGACGTCTAGGAAGGAGGTGCTTGCAGATGCCTGCTCATCATCATCCTTGCCCATCTTTCGAAGATGGCTCTTGGTGCCCTGGATGGTAGGGCCACCATAGGAGAACTCGCCTGCTATTGTGTAGACCGGCTCCTTGTTAGTATCCGAGCTACTAGCAGGCTGGGGGGTAGTCTTGGAGGACTGACCCTTATTCTTCTTCTTTGCCCCGGCTGGGGACTTGGAAATGTAGGACTTCAGCATTCCTTTGTCAGCCAGACGGTCCAACGCTCTTTGAAGGCTGAAGCAGTCGTTGGTGTCATGGCCAACTTCCTTATGGTATTGACAAAATTTATTTTTGTTCCTTGATTGAATGGAACTTTTCATTGGATTCGGCTTCACTAGGGACAGCCGGTCCTTAATTTCCATGAGGATGGAATTGCAGTCCTTGTTAAACTCGTACTTGGGGACGTACGGTTTAAAATCTTTCTTCTTCTTATGGGACGGCTGGTCAGAATCACTAACCGCCCAGACTTCTTTTCTTTTCTTGATCTCTTCTTTCTTTTTGGCCGGCTGTCTTTCTGCTTGTCGGACCTCTTTGAATCCGACTAGCTGCCAGGCGAGCAGAGGTCGGTAGCTTGAATGTAGCTTTCCGCCTCCCTCAGGACCGCCTGTAAGGTGAAAGCCCCTTTTCTGACTAGGTTGAACTTAAAAGTTGACCCGTCTCTCAGACCTTTGAAAAAGTCTGTAAAAGCTACCTCATCAGACAGTCCTTGAATCTGAATTCTAATCAGATTGAACCGCCTGACATAAGAGCGCAACCCTTCTCTCTCCCCCTGCTTAATGGTGCTCAAGTCCAAGCTTGTTTTCATAGCAGGGATGTTCATTGAGAAGTTGGAAGCAAATAGGAAGGCAAGCTTCCTAAAACTGTCAATGCACCCGGCTGGCAGATTACCAAACCATTGTTGGGCGATGCCCTTCAATGTAGCCGGGAAGCAACGACACCAAGTGGCATCATCCAACCCCTGCAGATACATGAGGTTGGTATAAGCCATGAGGTGGTCTTCCGGATTGGTGGTACCATCATAGGTACCAACCAACACATTCTTAACCTTGGACGGCTGTGCCGCCTCGGTTATCTCCCGGGTGAACGCAGAAGGTTGTTCACCCAGGCGAAGCAGACGAAGCTGCCAGTCCATTGGATGGACATTTTGGTATGCCGCCTGACCTCCAAAGAGGGCCGACTGCATGAAATGAGGGGGATACTGGCCGTAGACCTGAGTAGGCACATACGGTACAGCTCTAATCATATGAGAGCTAGAATGGACGGTATTACCGCCTGTCTGACTCTCATGCAAGGAAGATGCATTCCCGGAAAAGGTATTGTTAAAGCTGTCAGGAAAGTTTGACGTGGAAGCCGACTCAGACAGCTGCTAATTTCTCTTCCGGTTGATGATCTCCCGGGCATCAAGAGATGACTTCTTACTTCTCACCGGCTGTTGAGTCCGGCGGGAGTTATTGTTATTCCCCTTAGGAAAAAGAATTTTGGACCAATCAATGGTCCCGGCTGCCTTCTCCTTTGGATGAGGAGTGGGCTGCCGATCTTTGACTGACTTCCCCTTTTCCAGAGGAGTCTTCTTGGCCGACTGACCTCTACTTGGGCCAGCCCGGCTCTGGGTGATCAACTCTTTAATTTCACCCTTGAAACTTGTCATGAATCTCATGAGCTCGTCTCGGGTGACAGGCGCTGATCCAGATGCCGTATGGGTTTCCCCTTCCGGCTGCCCAGGGGGTCTACTTGCACCCGCCTAGGAGGCACCCCGCTCCAGAGTCTCTCTGGGCCGGATGCGCTTGATTCTGAGAGAGCCGTCTTCGGCTGTAAAGGTTTCGACTTGAGGATCATCCTCATGGTCTGTAAATACTTCTAGGTCTTCGCCCAGACGGTTAGGGGGTGGTACAGACTCTTGAACCATCTTCGAGGTACTCTTCCCACAGACGGCGCCAAATGTTTTGGGTGTTTTTGTCCCTCGAGAGAGTTACAACACGAAGACTGATCCGGAGTGAGATGTACCTGCAAAACAAACGGAGACACCGGTTGGGTGGTGCTCCGCCTCTGACGCACAAGTTAGAAACTTGAAGGGAGAAAAAGGTGCGGAAATTTAGGTGGGGTTCTGCTCGGATTCCAAGCTCAGGATGTCTCTATCAAAGAGTAAAATGTGTAATAAATGGTAAAACGTGCCCACAAAAAGAGGGACATCTCCCTATTTATAGGGTCGTTGGGATTTGTGCTCCTGATTAGGTCACTGAACCCTAATCATTGGTGGGCTGCGCCGCTTTGCGGCTTCATCGGGATTCGGGCCTGAAGGCCGCCTTTTCCCCTTAATTTCTGGAGTGACACGTGTCAAGCAGGGATTGGTCCACTTTGGGCCATCCTGAGGCTGACACGTGTCATCCTCTAATTGGACCACGAGTCGGGGTAAAATTACCCAAAACATTGTGCAATTGAGATACATTTGGGGCCCCCCTCTTTTTTTTTTTTTAAGTAACGTATAATAATATTGCATTTTTTTATTAAATGCTCCGCTATGATTTATTTGTTGAAGAGGTTTAAAATAAAGAAATATATGTAATTTTTGTAATACTATTGAAGAGATCAAAATATGTTGAAAAGCAAAAATAAAAATAAGTTATTAAAGTATTTACGGGTTATTGTAAAGAGGAGAGAGAATGGTAATATTTTCTAAAAATGAAATTGAATCAAGAGATCATTATTGGGGATAAAAAATATAAATATTTTTAGAATCTTCCAAAATATAGGAACGGAATTTAAAAAAAAAAAGGACTAAAATGAAAAGTAAAGCACAAACGAAGTATTTGAAAATCGAAAGAATATCCAAACCTTTAAATTATAAAATTAAAATTAAAAAAAGTTTTTAAAAAATTACAAAAAAAAATAAAAAACTGAAAAAAAAAAAAGTACATAAGCAAGGCTCGAACAGCGTATCTACAAGACTTAGTATCACCATCCTTACCACTAAGCCACAACAATAACACTAGAAATTTGTACAATAATTTTGTATATAATTGTAAACTTTGAGGCCCCAAGCGATTTTGGGCCCTGTGCGGTTGCGCATGCCGCACACCCTAAGGGCCGGCCCTGGAACTTGTACATACTTAACCATAAACACACACTTCAAATAAAACATAGTTATGACTAATTATGTATGTAGGTAGAATCTTGTTAGGTTCATCTCAACTGTAAATTTTAAAACAAATATAGTTATTCATTTCCTTTCATGAGATTTAAATGCAAATGAAAGTTAGTACTTTAAGGATGATTAATATTTACCGATACAATTTTTTTTATAAATTTTTTATTGGTGTGCATGTACCAATACAGTATAATACGGAGTAGTGTAAAAAAATATTTCAGATAAAATAGGTTAAATTAAAATAAAACATGTAGACCCTAATGTAAAAATTTTATTAGATTGATACAAAAGGCTCAAGTTAGCACGACACATTAATCTCCTCTAATAAATATATCACCGAGCAATTAAGATAGTCAAGATTTGAACTTAACTTGGCATAGAAGAGTTAAAAACTTCAAAATAATATGATCTAATCTGCGTGAGTGAGACGTTGAATCTAACTTTTACTTGTATGGGCACAATAATTTACTAATTAATTTAGCATGACTTAAATTTGAGATAGCGAGCTTCATTGCTCAATCCAATTAGATATGGATCAGAGTTGACCAATGATCCTTATAGACACCTCTAAAAACTTTATTAAACAATTTAAATGATTTTTTATATTTGTGACACGTTTAGTCTTTTTTTTTTTTTTTTTTTTTGAGAGAGAGGGAAACAAGTTTAATCTAACGCAGCTTTGTTTTTAGATCAAACAAGTATGGCATGTGTGGCTATCAAAGACGTCATGGTATTGTATTTTCACCAATTTTATAAATACGTAACCTTTTTCCTGTAAATTTATTATAAATCTGATACTTTGATTTTGTATTTGGGCATGTGCTTAATTCATTGACATGGAAAGCAATCACAAACATGTGGACAAAAGTTCCACGTAATACCAATATGGAGAATTTACGAGACAATTACTTGTTTCCTCAGGTCTATATAATGTTTGATTTATCTATTTTAATCTGATTTGATATGATTTTTTAAATTGACTAAATTTTGATATTATTAATTGTATATTAAGGCCTAAATGATACTCGGTAAAAAATAATTTAAGTTATGTAAAAAGAATTTTAGTTCGGTAAAACTAAGCTCAGTTCAATAATAATAATTTCAGTTTAAGTCAGCAATTTAAAGAAGAAATATAGCAGAAAATAATTATTTCAGTTTAGAAAAAATAATTTAAGTTCGGTTAAAATAATTTAAGTTAAGCAAAATATGGTGAAGTGAACATGGCCTAACTCTTAAGAAACTAAATCTTAAGAAAAATAAATTATCAAATGAGACATTATTACTTGTCAGTGAATTTTTCAATATTTTATCATGGAAGATCTTTAATAATAGGAAAAATTGTCATGATTAATCTCAACTTTGTCGCTCCATTTATTTTTTATGAATCCCAACTTCCGTTTATTTTTTATCAATCCCAACTTTATACCCAATCCGCTTCCATTGCACCCAATCAGTCATCCAACTTGATATAGCAAGTTATTAGACACATGTCAACAAGTGATTGGTTCAAAAAAAATTAAAAATAAATAAATTTTTGAAAAATTAAAAAATAAAAATAAAACCAAACTCAAAAGGCTAGCAAGCAACAACCTATTCCACCTCCGACCAACACCTCCCTTCCCCCTCCATTTTCGCTCTTGTCCCCACTGATTTCAGCCGTTCAGTCCACCACAACCTCTCCTCCCACGATTCTGGCACTTCTACCCTTCCCTTCCCCCGATTCTGGCAACCAAAGCTTCCCCTCCCCCCTCAATTCCAACCACCCCAGCCAAATTCGTCTACTCTCGCTCCCTTCCTTTCCCCAATTCCGGCCACTCCCTCCCTTCCCTTCCTCGATTCCAGCCACTCACTCCTAGCCACCACTCTTTCTCTCTCCTCGAATACTGCCACCACTCTTACTCTTTTCCCGAATTCTGCCATCAGTTCTTTCTCTCTCCTCGAATTCGGCCACCCACTCCCATCCTACCCCCGTTCCGGCTGCCTTCATGGTGGCTGCCATCTTAAGTGGCAGCCTTTTTTTTGGTTAATTTTTTTTAAAAAAAAAATTGACCAATCATGTGTTGACACGTGTGAAAAAAATATTCAACTCACAAATATTAACCTACTTAGGCCTCGTTCTTTAGAGCTGCTCTGCTCTACTCTACTCTGCTGAAATCTGCTCTGCTCTACTATGCTTAAAAATAATACTTAGGTTATTTTAGATTTTAACACCTGTTAAAAACCCGAAAATGGTTTTTAACACCACCAAAAAAATTGAAATTAACACCACACAAATTTCCAAAAATTGGGTATTACCACCAGTTAGCGGTTTCCGTCAAAAAATTCTGTTAAGTGTAGTCCACAGTTACACGTGTCACTATTTTATTTGTTTACAAAAAACTTAAAAAAAATAAAATAAAAAAACCTAAAACTACCCCCGCGCCACCACCTCCGTCCCCCAACCCACCCCCTGCCGGCATCAGGCATCCCAGAGAACCGCCCGACATCGGGGACCCCACCCCCTTTCCCCCACCTATGCACCCTACCCCTTAAAGTTGGGAGTGATAGATAATAAACGAAAATTGGGATTAATTTTGGCGGACGAGGCAAAGTTCAGATTAATGGGAGCAATTTTTCCTAGTTTTTTTAGGATCCCCATTTTAATGCTTTCTTATAAACAAATTCATTTATGATGTGGGATATTGTAAAATAAAATTATAAAATATTACAAGTCCATTACCTTCTACTATCTAATAATTTTAATACTTCTAGATTTCTTTTAAAATATTTGTAGGGGATCTACAATATTTTATAATATTAATAATTTTCCTAACAATAATAATAATAATAATAATAATAATAATAATAATAATAATAATAATAATAATAATAATAATAATAATAATAATAATAATAATAATCCTAGTGAGGTCGCTGCCCCTAAACTCATGAAGAAATTGGCAGATATGTATTTTCACAAAGATTACCGCTTCTGCAGAATCTGCTTATTCTTTAACTCCTCGACAATCAACATTATGGAAATCACAGCAGTGTGATCACACCTCAGCTTGGCTTCGGGCGGTTCCTATTTCGGGGTTGGGTCAGACGATGAACGCTAAGACTTATCGCTGTGTGTTGTCTTATCGGTTGGGTGTTCCATTGTTCTCTGTCTCGACGTCGTGCTCTACTTGTTCGAGGGTTTTTGCTGGAGATATTTTCGGTGATCACGCGGTGTCTTATGCTGGTATTGTGGGTATTAAACATCGGCATAATGTTGTTCGGGATACCCTTGTTGATGTTTGCTATCGTTTTGGGATTTCAGCGAGAAAGGAGGTTGACATTGGGTTGGCTGGAGGGAACGACGAGGCCCTCAGACCTGCGGATGTGTTACTTTATTCATGGGATCGTGGTCGCGATGTCTGTGTTGATTTGACAGGGTCTTCTCCTTTGACACAATCAGGGCTATCTGACTTTATTCCTGGGCGGGTTGTGGCTGATGCTGCTCATCAAAAGCGAGATAAGTATGAAGCTCGATGTCAGGCGATTGGATATGGTTTCATTCCCTTCTCCTTTTCTTCGCTTGGGGAATTAGAGAAGGAGGATGTTGCGTTACTGAAGCGGATTCAGAGGTTCTCGACGACGTAAGACATTGGGGCTCGTGTTGCAGCTCATATCTTCACTATGGTAGGATTTTCTATAGCTAGAGGAGTGGGGGCCCAGATTGTATCTCGGCTTCCCACTAATTTATTGTAGGTTGTATGACTTTTGTTTTTGAGATATAATAATAATAATAATAATAATAATAATAATAATAATAATAAATATAATAATAATAATAATAATAATAGTAATCATAAAAATAATAATAAAATATAAATATTGATTAAAAATAAAAGTAGATTATTGAAATAATTAGTACTATTGAATATTAATTATTATTTAAAAATAGAGCAGAGCAGATTTCTTTTGAGCAGAGCAGAGCGGATTTGATTTGAGCAGAGCAGAGAGAGCAAAGCAGAGCAGAACAACTCTAAAGAATGGATCCTTAGTAGGTTGCAAGTCACTTGGGAGTGTTTTTGGCGAATATGCTATAAAGTTGGGATTAATAAATAAAAAATGGAAGCTGCGATTAATATTGACGGACAAAGCAAATAAAGTTGAGATTAATCATAACAAATTTTTCTTAGAAATAGATTTTTAAAAAATGGTACAAGAATTATAACCTACAGATCATCTTAGCTTTTGCATATAGGAATAACACTACTCCGTATTAGTTATTCTTCTCAATATACAAGAAATATAATATAGAGTTATGCTATAATCTGATAGAGTATAAAATATATTCCTGAGCCTCAACCATAAGCTTAAACTTTTGGTTGAGATGGTCCTTCAATATAATCTATGGTATATGTGATATAATGTATCTCAAATAAATTGATTAGTGGTAATAATCAGATAAACATGCGAGAGGAGGAGCATGTAAAGAAGCATCCCCATGCAAAATTGATTAGACTTGGAGTAGGCGATACAACTCAACCTATTCCACACACTACTTCTTCTGTCATGTCTCAGGTAATTAATAATTAACCTAACCTTCTACTTTAATTATAATTTATAATCAGATTAATTTATAATCGTGCAATAGGTTTTACTGCTATATTTCTTGCAAAATTGGTACTCTACTTTAAATACTCTATTTATTTTAATTTTAAGTAGCGTAGATCTTAAATACTCCCTCTATTTTAAATAGTCTTTTTAATTTTATCTAACTGTGTCACGGTTGACTGGGCAAGTACGCCAATGCAAAAGTTTCACTTATTATATCTTTAATTATAAAAAGTTGCTATTCGAAAACTTATACATTGAAATAAGTATCTATATAACCATTTTTTTTCTTATGTATAAATTACGACTTTTTTTTTTTTTTTGAGAAAAAGCATATAAATTACGACTATTGGTCAAAGTGCATTATGTGAATAGTGGAAAAATCAACCTAGGACACTAAAAAAAAAAAAAAAAAAAAAAAAAAAAAAAAAAAAAAAAAAACGTATGTAGGGAGTATAAATGAGGTTATTGACTTAAAAATTATTTAATTAATTATAATAAACCTCACTAGATTCACTTTGGGGTATGGCAGAAATTTTTTCTTGCCATTCTAAGACTCTATTCTTTTGAGCTATAATTGAATTTTTCGAGTAACTCACACAACTGTATTTTACTTGAACTTATTTTAATTTGAGTACGTATTTTTTTTTTTGAAATAAGTGATGTAAACAGAATAGATCATAGCCAAGTTAAATTCTCCAATTTTAGCCATTTGTTTATCATACATGCATGTTTCTCATTGTGCAAATATGTTTATCTTCATCATGTTCAGTATGCACAAGCTTTAGCTACTATTGAAGGTTACAATGGCTATGGAGCAGAACAAGGCAATAAGGTGACTTTTTTTCCTTCCCTTCCCTATTCTAACTCACAACGCCCAACTTAAATAGCCAATTTTCCAAAATAAGGTGACTTTTATCCTACTTAACAAGTGTATTATTATTATTCCTTTAATTTTGACTTATCTATTCATAACAATTTTGAACTTTCTCTCCTTTATACTTTGTACATGAATATATGAACTTATTAGGTTGAAACTTAGCTTTTTACTTATATGAAATTATAAATAACCAATACAGAATTTAGGGTTCATATTGAGTCCCTTGAATCTAGGTCGGGTTGATGAAATTGGATTAGGTCGAGTCTATTTCCAATTTGAATCACACTAATCTATTGTATCTACATGTTTAAATTTGTATTTGATTTATTTCGGGTCAATTTCGAATTAAGTCTGTCGGATTAGTTTTTGACATCTTTAACTTTAACCAAATATAACATTATTAAATACTAATAATAAGAAAAATAAATTTGTCATATAAAATAACATTGAATCAGTCTAATTGAACAAATTTTCAACTTTTACGTACCAACACATAAATCAATATGCTGTGATCAAGTTGTATCTTGACAAAAGTAACTGTGAATACCAAGTGGCAAGTACTACTAAAATAATTAAAGTATGTAAACATCAAAAATACTTCATAACATCTTCATTTAATCTTTTTCTATTTTTCTTTTTTTTTTTTTTTTTTTTTTGTGAAAAACATCTTCATTTAATCTTCTTTCGAACAAATTATAACAAATTCATATTGGTCGTGACAGGAATTAAGGAAGGCGATTGTTGAAACAATTTATACAAATACAGGTATTACGAGTGATGAAATATTCATATCAGATGGAGCACAGTGTGACATTTCTCGCCTACAGGTAAATTCGAAGTATATAGCTTCATAATTAATTATTTTTAAAATTTTGAGGGAATTTGTTACATAATATACTAATGAAACGTTTTGTAACACAATTTTTTTTCCTTTGAAATATACAGATGTTAATGGGATCCAATATAAGTATAGCAGTCCAAGATCCTACATTTCCGGTAATAATTTAAGACATATCTCTATTACTCGTTTCGTTTTTAAATACTTGCTCCACTTTTTTTTTGGACTTTTTTAAAATTTTTGCATCATTTCCTTATTTGAAAAGCTTTTATAATATTTAATTCATTTCTCTCACCTAATGCACCCAATATAAATCATATTTTATTAATTTCATATTTTCTCTCCTTCAATTCTCCCAACAATTTTTGCTTTTTTATAATTTTTTTTATTCTTCCTTCCACCCCACTAGTCCACTACCTCTATATTTTATTATTTTCTCCAATTTCTCCTTAAACTCCGCCAAGAAATAGAGCAAGTATTTAAAAATGAAGGAAGTATACACTTGAATTTTCAATAAAGGCTTAATTTTATAACTCATGTCACTTTCACTTTAGCATGCGTAAGACACAAATGAAAATTTGTAATTAAGGGCTTGTTTAGCATCATTTTTGGTTTTTAGTTTCCTGTTTTTAGTTTCCTAACAAGAAAAAGATGTTTCCACTTTTCTATTGTCAGTTTTCAAAATTATCATGATTTTACGAAGTTTAAATAAATTTTGATTCATTATGAGACATATATCATTTACTTTTAAAAAAACAAAAATCAAAAAGAGAGAAGCACAACAGTGTCAAACGAACCATGAGTTATTCAAGAATCAAAATATGATGACATGACAAATTGACATTTCTCAAACCTTTTGTTGAGCAGGCTTATGTTGATTCAAGTGTTATCATAGGCCAAGCCAGCAAATTTCAAGAACACACAGGAAAGTACAATAACATTGTGTACATGAGCAGTGGCCCTGAAAACAATTTCTTTCCTGATTTGAGTAGTACTCCTAGAACAGATATCATTTTCTTTTGCTCTCCTAATAATCCAACAGGCTATGCTGCTTCTCGTCGAGAATTAGAGCAGCTTGTTGAATTTGCAAAGATTAATGGCTCAATTATAATCTTTAATTCTGTATATGCAACTTATATCTCGGATGATAGCCCTCGATCAATCTTTGAAATCTCCAGCGCCAAGGAGGTGTGTTCGCTTCCATTTACTCACGTTGTGAATATAATTTCATTAGCGATGAAAAACAAGGCTTCAGTCCAAGTTTTTGTAATTTAAGACAGTTGGTGCCGTGTAATCTGGTAGATAAGCCTTGGCTAATAAGAACTTGTATGTGCAGGTTGCTATTGAAGTGTCTTCTTTCTCAAAGCTCGCCGGGTTTACAGGAGTAAGATTGGGATGGACAGTAGTTCCAAAAGATTTATGCTACTCAAGTGGCTTTCCAGTTATTAACGATTACGATCCAATTGCATGCACCTGTTTTAGTGGCGCCTCTAACGTTGCTCAAGCCGGTGGCTTAGCGTGCCTTTCTCCACAGGGCTACAAGGTCTCTTCCCAGCATTTGGAAAATTTCTAACTTAAAAACTACGTATTTCTCATAGAAGTCCCTTTAAATTGCTTTTTTATTCTGGTTTGATTTTGCAGGCCTTGCAATCTACAATCGATTATTACCTGAAGAATGCTGAAATGTTGGTTGATACGTTTACATCTTTCGGATTAAAAGTGTATGGAGGACAAAATGTACCATATTTATGGGTTCATTTTCCGGGCTCTAAATCTTGGGATATATTCAATGAGATTCTTGAGAATACTCATATATTAACAGTCCCAGGCAGGGGATTCGGTTACAAAGGTGAAGAGTTCATTCGAGTTAGCGCCTTTGCTCCCAGAGAAGCTATTTACGAAGCATCCATGAGGCTAACAAACTATTTTAGTGAAACAACTCCTTGGCTCCCAAAGAAGCTATTAATGAAGCTTCCATGAGGCTTAAAGGCAGCTGCCAGCGCCAACTTAACGATCATCTTCTCCTCTATCGTTGATTACACAAACATATGCCAGTATGTTACTCATTCTAAACATCTCAGTGAATTTTTCAAATTTGCATTGCATTTAATGATGCAATTAAAACTTCGAATAAGCGCTTTCAGTGTAATAGTATCATAAACAGTATTTTGCCTCAGTTCACGTATCATATATCTAAAATTATGTCTTTAAAATTAAAATCAGGTGAGCCGAGAGCAACTGTAAAATATTTCAATGTAATACTAAAGACTGGTTTGATTTAGAAAAGCTTGTTCCATGAACAGCAGCAGCTACTCGATATAGACGATATTATTAAGCACAAACCAGTTTTTCCAAGAATTTACCAAATACTACCTCCGTTACATATTATTTGCAACGATTAGACATTTTTCCTCTCTACTTTATGTCAAATCGTTGCAAATAAAATGTAACGGAGGTAGTATCACAATTTTGCAAGACATCATGCATCATTACCACATTACTATTATCTCGCGTAAATAGAGGACAGTACATCAGTACATGGTATGAAAGACAACCCTACACCGTAGAACTTAGGTACTCTGTAGAGTACATACATTTTCTGTGAAAAATGGTCTATGCATCTTAAACTGATCGGCTTAAAAGGGACTAGAAATAAAATTCGTGTTTGGCTGGCCTCTTTCTCTATTAACTACAGCCTATATAAAAAAGGTTTGGTATACAATACACGTGGTAGTCGAATTGATACTGGGCCTATTTTAAACAAAATTAAAGCTTGTCAGCAACTAGATACCATCCTAGTTATAAAAATGCTTTCAAAAGACAATTTTTAATAGACCATTATTAATCGATTTAGATTATGATACTAGCCTATTTGTTCGATATGAATGAACTAAACTCAACCCCCCTACTTCTACATATAAACTTGATACCTCAATTTTGCTATACCATTGTGATTTTAACCACTGTAAAATCATATTTGAAATACAAACGCCTACTACTCTTTAGCTCATTGATAAATCAACCTGATTGTAGGATTCATACAAACAATTGAATCAAACAAACCATCCAAAAAGCCTAAGATCATAATCTAAACAAAGCATAATGCATAATTTTCCTGGAATCCATATAAACTTCTTAAGAGTTCTATAACTAAAATCGCTTATAGCTTAATTTAAGTGTACTACCACATGCATATATGACTTCAAATAAGAATCAACTTTCCCATCCTAATCCTTTCTTTCTTTCTTCCAGTTTAAAACCCTCCATTCATATATGTACTACTCTCTCCGTCCCTTAATACAATACCTCTTTTGAGAATTTATTCCTCACATAATAAAGATAAAGAGGCATTTGTATTAAGGGACGGGGAGTACTAATAAACACCTCTACAATCACAATGCAACAAAACATGTCAAACAAACATTTCAAAATCACTAAGATTTAAAACAACCACTGCCTTGTAAACATTCTTTTCAACAGACGAAAGAATCCCTACAACAATCTGACCAATAATCGAAAACAATCCAATAACTCTCGCCCATTTGAGCTAATGCAGTAGCTATAATCAAACAGAAGGGGAAGCTCAATTCAAACACAAGGTAGTCTTGTCTAATAATCTCTCAACAATTCCTTTCCACACTCCACTTAAACATCCCAATCAACTTATCGGATATAGTTCGAAACGAAGCTATTAAATTGCTCAATTTGACCCCTAAACATAAACAAGTGAAGTAACACCAAAGCTTTCTCACGAAAACCTTTCAAACATCAAAATCAACAATCTCAAATCACACAGAATAATTAAAGTATTCGACAAACATATATACCCATATAAAAACAATACAAAATCCCTAAAATTGTTCAATTAATTGCATATAAACACACTTAACAACCCCAGATTATAACTTTAGCAAAACAAAACATACCCAATTGAAAAAAAAAACAACAATCAAACACAGAATTATAAATAAAAACAGCATTAAACTGATTCAAAATTGTAGATCCAAACTCAAAAGAGTAATTATAATAATAAATCCTCAACAAAACATAAGTTTGATAACAAAAGCTAAATACCCAAAAACTACTTTAACATAATAATTCGATTAAACCCCAAATCTCTGAATATCTGGAAACCTTGATTAATCAATCAATCAATCACCTCCAGCTTTCTGGTAAACATAGGTAAGACCACACTTACCACAATAATGGCGATCAAAATGGTTGGCCATGAAAGTTCCAGCACCACACTCAGCATTAGGGCACTCCTTCCTCAACCTCTGAACTTTAGCTGAATCATCAACCTTGTAAAACTGAAGAACAGCAAGCTTAACCTTCTTCTTCTTGTGCTTAATCTTCTTGGGCTTAGTGTAGGTCTTCTTCTTCCTCTTCTTGGCACCACCACGAAGACGAAGAACAAGGTGAAGGGTGGACTCCTTCTGGATGTTGTAGTCGGCTAAAGTGCGGCCATCTTCGAGCTGTTTTCCGGCGAAGATGAGACGTTGTTGGTCTGGTGGGATGCCTTCTTTGTCCTGGATCTTGGCTTTGACATTGTCGATGGTGTCGGAGGATTCGACCTCTAGGGTTATGGTTTTACCCGTTAGGGTTTTCACGAAGATCTGCATTTTTCTGGGGTTGAGGATGATTTCTCTCTCCTCTGCTGTTTTTGAGGCTGCTGCTGAAATGGGGGAGGGGAAATTAGGGTTTTTGGGGATTGCTTGGGTTTTTGTTGAGTGGGTTGTTGTGTTAGTGTTACTACTTCAATAGCCCATTGGACTTTTTCGATTGATTGGATAATGGATTGTGGAATGGAGTTGTTGGTTTTCAATTGTTTTGCACTTTTTCATTTTGCCGTAGAGGTGTTTGATAATAATTAAACTGGCTTATATACTCCTTTGTTGCCTTTGTTTTTTTTTTTAGAATTTGTTATGCATATGCGGGTGTCCTGTACACCCATATAACATAAACTTAGTTTTTGCTCTTCAGTTGACAATTAAAAGAAAAATAATATCAAAATAAGTACAAAATACTCATGGTGCACGATACACCCGGGTGTATATAACAATCTACCCCGTTTTTTTAGCTCAATTAATAAGGGTTGGTTTGGCTTTTTTTTTTTTTTTTGAAAGAAGTTTGGCATTTGTTTTTGTTAAAAAAAAAAAATAAAAAATAAAAAAAAACACAAATAACAACTTTTTGAGTCTGCACAAATTCTAAAATAGACCTGGTCTACATTAAGTTTATTGTAGACCAACTACTGTCACGTGAGCTTTCTACGGGCAATTAATTTTCGTTGTTTCCCTTGCTTCATTACTCTCATCTTAGCTCTACCAATTTTACTCTGCCCCATTTTCTTTCTCTACCATCTGCATTTTTTTTTTTATTTTTCACTTCAAAGATCGAATTACTCTCTATATGCACACTTTCAAGCTCTGTGATCTTCTTCTTCAATGGTGAAACGCAAGGTGGTGGAACGCCTCTGAGAGCGCGAGGAGGTGGAACACAAAACCGTGGTAAAATCTCTTACTTCACCTTGATTTTTCAACTTTGTAAGCTTTTTAAGGCTTTTTTTTTTTTTTTTGCTTGAATTTTTGTTCATTAAAAACGATTTAGGGTTTCAATTTGTTCAATCCATGTATAATTATAATTATAATTAAATTGAATTTCGTTATTTTATTTTTTTTTAATTAGTTGTTTGATTTAGGTAATTAGGGTTTTGATTAAATTTATCAGAAGGTGTTTGTGGTGGCTGAGTTGGGCGAGTGAGGCGAGGGTGTGGTTGGCGCGAGTTAAAAGTCTAGGTTTAAGTGAAGTTTGTTAGGGAGTATAAGATGTATAATGTTGTTGTTGGTGCGACTTCGATTTTTGAAGGAATGTATTATCGTAGTAGTTGTCTGCTTCCTGCTTCTGGCAATGTCAAGATTAATTCTAATAAAGCTTTAATGGAAGGTGTGGGTGTGGGGCTTGAGGCTGTTGGTAGGAACAGCGAAGGGGAGTTGTTGGCTGTTAAACTTGATGGAGAATGATTAAAAACCTTACAAAATTATCTAATTTCCACAACCTCTCCTCCTACTAATACCAAATTCCTCCAGTGTACCAAATTATATAAGAGTTTTATGTTGCTGAAATGCACAACTCGGGTAGCATTGACGCTAAAATATTATACAGCTCATTTCACATATCAGAGTAAAATCTTACTTTTACACCCTGTTCCACATATGTGATGGTTGCGAGAATGCGAGGTTCGAAATGCTAGCTTGAAATCTGAGTTATGTGAAAATCAAGCTCATATGTGATGCTTGAATGTTTGTAATGCTATCAAGGAGACGAAATGGCCGTCAGGCCGTTGATGATATTATACTTGCAGGAGAGCAATGTGAGTGTTTTTCTTTTAATCATGTTAGACAAAATGGCAATGTGAATGCGAGTTTCCTGCTAATGATGTAGAACAATCCTTTGCAAACTCTTTCCCCAAGGCTTTTTAGCTTTTGTGGATTTAGACTCTAGTTGATTTAATAATATTGCTTCCATGTTTTCCCCTAAAAAAAAGCTTTATGGGCATGATATGTAAGTGACAAAAGTGTAAGTTGGGTTAGTTTAATCCATTAATTTTACTTAATTAGTTTGATTAGTTGTAGATTTAGTTTGATAAGCTTGTATGAGTTTTGTCATGCTATATCTTGTTCTTCTTTAAATTAGTGAAAATTGTTCACTTTAATTTAAAAGCCTATTAGCTCAATTGGTAGAGCATTGTGCAACTGCTCAATGATGTAGGTTCGAATCCGGCATAGGCTATGAAAAGCTGATTATCATTAAAGGGTGACTTCATTTAAATAAAGGTTTCGAATCATAACAATAGTGACTGTATAAATTGGTCAGTACATGTGTAAATATGGGTTATTATGTTAGTTTAAATAAGATTCACTATATGTAAAAATAGGGCAGCTATGACTGTATTTAAATAAAGGTCATTATAAGTGTAAATATGCTTTGATTATGTTTAAATAGGAATCACCATGCATGAAAATAGTATTACTCCAAAATAAATAACTATATTCAAATAGGATTATTACATGTTAGAAAAAGGTCACTATATTCAAATAGGAGTTACTACATGTAAAAAAAATATCACTAGATTCAAATAGGGTTACTACATGTAAAAAAAAGGTCACTATATTCAAATTCTACATGTAAATAAAAAATCACTATATTCAAATAGGGGTTACTTCATGTAAAATAAAGGTCGCTATACTCAAATACTACATGTAATAATAAAAAAAAAATAAAAAAAAGGGTCATTATATTCAAATAGGGATTACTACAAGTAAAATAAAGGTCACTATATTAAAATAGGGGTTAATCACCACATGTAATAAAAAGCCACTATATTCAATTAGGGGTTACTACATGTAAAAAAAAAGGTCACTATATTCAAACAAGGGTTACTACGTGTAAAGGGTCACTATATTCAAAACTAACCTATTTATTAAAATGGGTCACTATATGTCTAAATCTTATTAGCCTATGTAGGACTTGAACCTACATCATCTGTGCCAATAAAAATATACACAGTGCTCGACCAATTGAGCTAATAGGCTTATAGAGTTTTTAACTATATATGATTCTCCAAATCCTACAATGCTTTATTATAAAGGCATTAATGTCTCTGAGAACAATGTTTATCATGTTCCCTTCTTATCACCTAACATACATAAAAGCATTAGATATCAATCTGACCATTTTCGGCTAAATAAAAGAATAACGTATACATGTTTTATTTGCATATACCTCATTCTTCTCGATCACAAATTGTGGGACAAACTATACCACACTCCATTCACAATTGAAAATAATAACAACAGCTCATAACTCGTTCTACAACATTATGTATTTAACTTTCAGAAAAACAATCATTTGAAAACTGAGACATATAGCAATATATAGTTTTTTTTTTTTTTTTTTTTTGTTTTTAACACAACAAAGGTTGGAGCTATGGAAACCATTACAACAACATTAGAAATGTTTGAGCAAAATAAGATACTAATGGAGAAGCTAAAAGAGTACATAGCCAACACCACCTACTACAGTGATCCCAACTATCCAAAATATTAGAAGCTAAATAAGTTTTATCAAAAGCAAAAGAGGGATAATACCAAGTCATAAGCCTAAGCACGTGAGAGTTAATTGAAGGCAGCCATCTACTATATAGCTGATTGTGGAAACTCAATCAACTAGCCATACATATGTATAGTGACCCTTATAATAATATAGCAACCTTTCTCATACACTAATGTCATAATAGCCATAGTGACCTTTATTTAAGCATGTTGCTAGCCTCATCCCTCTATACTTCCATTTCACATGCCTTCAAAAGGGTTAAACTGGTCGTAAACCATATAAACCCTAATTTTATTTCTTTAATTTTTTAAAATCATTCCCATCATCTTTTCCACACCAAACTTCACTGCTAACGTTGGACAATAAATAAATCAAAAAATAACACAAATCAAAATTCTACTCACAACGTAATTTATGCAATTTTCCATAAGCTACATAAAATTACCAGAACTAAGTAACTAACACCATCATCAATCATTTAAACCTCAGATTATACACAAATGAAACCAAAATTGATCAAGAAAGTTTTAATTGATTAACGTTTTAGAATAATTAAAAGCCCTAAGTAGAGAAAAACAGATTGATTTGGGAAGAATTAAATCGAATTAAAAACATAATCAATTTTTATTCATGATGTTTCGGGTGAAAACAATGGGACCTTGCCGAAGGTCCGCTGAAATGGAGAAGACTGGATTCGGTCCAAGTTATGTTGGGCCGAAGGTTTCCTGCACAGTAAACACACGTAAACTAGCCTCGGGGGTGTTGCCGAGGAAGGCCCCTCCGATGCTAAAGTCAGTACAATGTGTAGAAAGAAGACACTATGCAAGAGAGTTTGTAGCTTGAGGCTTTTGTGGAATATATCCGAATGTAAGAATGAGCATATGAATTAGAATATGAATCTGAACGTGAATCTCAACATGAATGTGAATATGATGGCTTTTATACCTCATCATACATGGAGAGGTTGGGCTTTAGCCCAATTGGCTTACTTTGTGGGCTGACCTTTGACTTTTGCACAATTGGAGAGTTGAACCTTGACCTTGGGCTTTTAATTGGATCATTTAGTGCTTAGGCCCAATTTTGACTAAATTGGACCCAAACAACTTGCCCCCCAGACCCGATTTGGAAGGATGACGGGTCGGGTTTGATTTAATTCAGAAAAGGAGGGAAGTAAATGATTTAATTGATCCAAAAATTTGAATTTAAACCGTAATTAATGAGATAATAACGGTTAATGATTGCGGAAGTTGGACGGATAATGGGCAGTTTAATCGCAAGATTATGTGTTTAATGGTTACTTAGTGGGTATTTAAAAGAAATTAAAACACAGGCTCCTCGTATCCCGTATCTGGAGATATAAACAAAGGCGCGTCATTCTCTTCACTTATTCACCAACACAAACCCAGAATTTTCAAGAGAGAAACCAAGAACCCGCATCAAAACTTCGCAAATTCCCCGAGCATTAAGCTTAGAAACTGAGACTTGCCACTACGAACTCGTAAATCGGCAACTTTCGCTTCAGATTAAGGTAAATTCCTTTGATTTCAGTTTATTTTTCTTCGAATTCGAACTCCTTCCCCTTTTCTTTCGACTTTTCTCTTCGAAATAATCAATGGCAAAGGGAGTTAGAGGTAGAGCCCGTGCTCCAAGAAGAGCAAGGCCGTTTCCCGATCCTAGGAA